GCTCGTTGAGCTCCTCCCGGACCAGCACGCTGCTTACTGCAGCTGGAGAGACCGTTGTATAAAGGTATAAGAGTTCTTCTTCGATTGGTTTAGCTAGGATGGGGGGCTTGGTGAGATAGGTTTTGAGTTGGGTTAATGCCTCCTCTCATTTCTCGTCCCACTGGAATTTTTTGTTTCCTTTGAGGAGCTGGTAGAAGGGGAGACATTTATCGGTTGACCGCGAGATGAACCGGTTGAGGGCTGCAACTCGACCGGTCAAACGTTGTACTTCCCGAGTTGTCCTGGGAGACGGCATTTCGAGGAAAGCCGAGATTTGTTTCGGGTTCGCTTTGATTCCTCGTTCGGTGACTAGGTAGCCGAGGAATTCGCTTGAGGCGACTCTGAAGGTACATTTAGCTGGGTTGAGCTTCATCTCGTATTGGTTTAAGATTTTGAAGCATTCCCTGATTTGTGTGATGTGGTCTGTGTCTCTCGCGGACTTGACCAGCATGTCGTCTATGTAGATTTCCATGGTTTTACCGAGCTGGTTAGCAAACATTTTGTTCACTAGCCTTTGTTAGGTTGCTCCTGCGTTTTTCAGGCCGAAGGGCATTACTTTGTAGCAGTAGGTACCTCGATCGGTAATGAAGGCCATTTTTTCTTGGTCTTCCAGATTCATCTTGATCTGATTGTAACCGGAGAAGGCGTCCATGAAGGACAAGAGTTGATGGGCAGCTGTGGCCTCGACCATGCGGTCAATGTGTGGAAGTGGGAAGCTGTCTTTTGGACATGCTTTGTTTAGGTCGGTGAAATCGACGCAGACTCTCCACTTTCCATTTTTCTTTTGGATGACCACGGGGTTTGCCAACCAGTCGGGGTATTTTACCTCTCTGTTCGATCCCACTTTGAGCAGTCGGTTTACCTCGTCATTGACTGCCTTAGCTCGATCTGGGCCGAGCTTGCGGCGTTTCTGTCTGATGGGTTTGATAGTTGGGTCGATGTTGAGTTCGTGTGCGGTGATCTCTGTATCGATGCCCGGCATGTCCGCAGTGGACCATGCGAAGGTGCTCAGGTTTTCTTTTAGAAAATCTATTAGTTCGGTGCGAATTGTTTTCGCAAGGTCGACCCCGATTCCAACGCACCTTTCGGTGTTAGAGTCGTCTATGCATACTTGCTCGATTAATTCTGTTCGAGGACGGACTGCGAGCTCCTCCTCTTTCAGTAATTGCTATATGTGAGCTTTCTCAGCTCGCAAGAAGCTACCCATATAGCATTCCCTTGAGGCTCGTTGGGAGCCGCGTATCGATTTGGTTCCCCAAGGGGTTGGGAATTTGACACATTGGTGGTATGTAGAAGCCACAACTTTCATTGCGTAGAGCCAAGGTCTGCCGAGAATGGCATTAAATGGAGCTGGGCGATCTACGACTACGAAGTCAATTATTTTTATGACTCCGACGGCCTTAACTGGGAGCTGGATAGTTCCCAACGAGTAGGTGGTTTCTCCTGCGAAGCCAGTGAGTGGAGTTCGATCATTCGATAGCATGTATGTTTATTATCCCATGCGTCTAAAAACGTCAAAGAACAACACGTCTACCGAGCTTCCGGTATCAATCATGACCCTTGTGAGGTCGAATCCGCCTACAGCGATCTGTATGACGAGTGCATCGTCATGTGGTTTATCTAGAGTCAGCGTTTCGCTTTCTAGAAAGCTGATTTGGTGGTCGGGTCCGCCCAGGGGTAGATTTACCATGGCGGACTCTACCTTGCGTTGATATGCCTTGATTGTATTGATTGAGTCTCGGCACATCTTCGAGCCTCCGCAGATGAAGTCGATTCGCTTCATTATGGGTAGCTCCCCCTCCCCCTCGAAGGAGTGAGCGATGCGTGAGGTAGACCTCGCTTTAGATCGAGGTGTCGGGACTTGGGTGATGCTCGGTTTTGACGAGCTTCCGAGTAGTTTTAACACGTGTCTTCTAGGGGGGGGGGGGGGGTTGTAGTGACTGATTTCATTGATCCACCACAGAGGTTTAGCTCTCTGAAGATCAGGTTGATTCTTTTTCTCGCTGATGGAGGGGAGTCAGGGGTTTGGACTTCGATTTCGACTTTGCGATCTCGTTTTTGAGGTTCTTTGTCAGGGTCCGCTTCCTTGTTTCAGGTCGAGGTCTTTTTGGGCTTTTTGCTTTTTCCTTCGGCCTTCTCGGCTTTTTCCTTGGCGAGCTTTTTCGCCAGGATCCTAGCTCGAGTTCGACATTCCTCGGTGGAATGTCCGTTCTTTTTGTTGTGCTCGCAGTATTTGCTTTGGTCGAAGCTCGACTCCTTTTCGGGAGACGAGCTCTCTATAGCATATGAATGCTGACCTTTGCCCTGCGGCTCCCTATTGGGGGTGTAACGTTAGCTTTCTTCGACCCGGAGGGTGCGAGGTGGAGCTGTGAGTTGCGGTATTTTGCTTCGCAGGCAGCTGTTTCGACTTCGAAGTTAGCGTATATGAAAGCGCGATGGAGCGCATCATCGAGTGAGTCCGTAGGTCAGAGCGTGAGCTCTGCCTTGAACCTCAACTGGTACCATAGGTTGGTTCGCAGGATGAGCAGAGCTACTGCTTCGTTAGGGTTAGCGATTTTAGCTTTGATCGCTTTGAATTTAGCGATGTATGATCGAAGTGGTTCATCTGGAGCTTGGACTAGCTTCCAGAGGTCAGCTTCGGTTTCTCGTTTTTCGATGAATATCGAATACTGTTTGAGGAAGGCTACTGAGAGCTCATTGAAATTCGAGATCGAATTTTCTTCCATCGTAGCGAACCATTCCTGAGCTGGTCTGACTAGGTTTTCGGCGAATAGCCTGCAGTATCCTGCTTATTTCTCTTCTGGGAAGAAATTAGCTCGGATAGCTGCGAGGTTGAAGAGTCGGATATAGGCTTTAGGGTCGCTGTTCCCAGCGTACTCTGGGACTCTTACTTTGGTAGTGTCTCGGAGGTACGTGTGCATGATCGAGTAGGTGAACAGAGTCTGTTTGGTCTCGCGAATTACTCGATCGATGTCGAGAGCTGAGCTTGTGGCTTGATGGAACATGGAGTTCATATGCCGAATAGCATAGTCGGTTTGATTCTGGAATCTTTCAGAAGATTCGCAGTCGACTAGGTTTCCTGAGCCAACGCCGAGGTGGTTAGCCCGAATCGGATCATTTGGAATCTGGGTTTCGAGCTGTTTGTGAACGAACCCTATGGGTTGTTCGCGGATCCCGTTTGGAAGTCTCGAGCTCGAGGTCGTGTTCGGTTGTTGACCGAACTGGAGAGGTGTTTGCGAGCTCGAGACGAATGTCGAGGATCCAAGCCATCTCTGTCGAGGTGGCTTGGTTCCAGGTGGTCTTAAAGGTGGAGATAGATATCTCGTGTTGGGACGAGGTTCCATTTCGGGTATTTCTGGTGTCGGCACAGGTGGAGATGGATATCTCATTGCGGGACAAGTTCCCATCTCTGGTATTCTTGGAGCCGGAATATCCGTGGCAATTGGTGTCTGGTTCGCCACGGGGGCGAAGTTCGGTGGACCTGGAGCACGCAGAGGTGTCACGTACGGTCCGGGTGGATTACTCGGAGCAGGGATCGACGAAAAGTCGAGCTGAGTCTATGGAGGTGGACTCGCAGCGGATCGAGCTGCGGCTTGACGCCGTTCCTGCCTTTCTAATCTGATCTCCTGATCTTGTTGTCGATCGATCAGATGTGTGATCATTTGGAGTATCTCCGCCAACTCTGACGTGCTCCTAGAAGCTGCGGGTATCGGCGGGGAAACAGGAGCTACTCGGCTCTGTGATACCGAAGATGTAGGTAGATTCTCAGATCGCACCCAGGTTCGAGAGGGAGGCCTTTCGACTGTTTGTGACTAGTTACTCGTTATACCCGGTGGGGTGACAAGGTTGATCACGATCGGTTTCACACGGCTGGGAACGTTAGAGTTTGTGCCGGTGGTGTCGACGGGTCGTAACCCTGGGTTCGTTTCCGCCGGCTGTCTGGTTGACGTTGCCGATCGGGGTTACTTGATTTGGAGAGATCAGAATCGGTGAGACGTTTCCCGAGGTTTGTTGAGTTGAATCCATTTCGGTTTCGGCTGGCTTAGGATCTGCTCTTGAGTAAGAGAAATCTATAGATCTTTCCCCACAGACGGTGCCAAAATGTGGATACTGAAATCCACACTCAGAAATTTATGTGTATTTGTAAGGAAAGAACTTTAGAGGATTAAGGGCTATATTCCCTCGACCTCAAGCTAGTTGACAATATAAACTAGCACTAACTGAAATAAGGACTTTGTATTAATCGGTCAAATGAAACGGTTACAAAGATTTCGATAGTAAAAATGAACTGAAAAAAGCTCTGGGAGCACTTACAGTGTTTTCGTGTGTAGAAAGTGTGTAAAAAGATCAAGCTGAAGGTCCCCCAAACTAAGCCATTCTCCTCTTTTATATAGCTTGCCTCGTCAAGCTTCAAGCTCCAGCGCGTATCTCGACCACGTGCAGCAGCCTCAGCCGGATATCTCACCACGTGCAGCAACTTCCTCTGCGATCTTCAGACTCATTTGAACTGGCGAGAATATGCTCTGACTTGGCTCAGATTTTTCCTCGTTTCTCGGAATTTGGTCGAGCTGGAGCTCGACCTCGTTGAACGGAATGTCTTGTTGCTCTGGATCGGATTGTTGAAAGATGAATGGGCCTGGGCTGTAAGGTTGAAACCCAACTTTTTGGCTTAGTTTAGACCTGCTCGTTAGGCTTGAATGGGCCAGATTTGGAGTGTCAAATCCAGCTCCAACACTATGTATAAAAAAATAAGAAAAGAAACGTAAGACTTCATTTTGTGATTTTTCTCAAAAGTTAGAAGCAGACAAAATAGTAAGAAGAAAAGAGCCGTGAAGGAACACACAAACTGGCCTCATCACTAAATAAAATCTTCTTCAGTGATTAAAATTACACACCAAGTAAAAATATTTCAAGAAACAAAAAAATGGGAGAGAGAGAGGAAGTGAAATTCTATTGGGAGTATGGTACAGTCCATAAGCATTAAGACCAAAGATCGCTCTCCGTCTTAAATCGGTTCATTACGATTACTTTGAAGAAGATTTGTTCGGATCCAAGAGTGATCTTCTTCTCAAATCGAACCCGGTCCACAAGAAAGTCCCGGTTCTCATCCACAACACTCAACCGGTTCTCGAGTCCCTCAACATCGTTGAGTACATCGACGAGACCTGGAACTCATCTGGACCGTCCATTGTCCCTTCCCATCCTCATGATTGCGTCTTCTGATTTTTGCTAAACTTTTTTTTTTTTAACAAAGCATTCATTCCACTTAAAATGCAGTGGTTTCCAGCTTTGAAAGCGGCGGCAATTACAAAATCAGAAGTGAAAGAATGGGTTAATGCGACTCGAGGAAGCGTTTGTTGCTCTAAGCAAAGGGAAACCTTTTTTTGGAGGTGAAGCGATTGGGTTCATGGATATTTGCCTTGGAAGCTTTGTGGTTCTCTTGAAAGCTAGAGAGAAGCTTAAAGGAGAAAAGCTTCTAGATGAATCAAAAGTTCCTTATCTCTTTAAATGGGCTGACCAATTCTTGTGTGATGATACGGTGAAGAATCTGGTACCAGAGATCGATAAAGTCGCTGAATTTCTAGGAGAGCTTGAAGCTAAAGCTCCACAGAACTTTAAATGATCGTAGAAATGCACGGCAATGGAAGTGTGTAATGTAAGTGTAAAAATAAAAAATAAATTCAAGTGTGAAGTGTTGTGTTAAGTGTATGCAAATATATCATATAATCATGCAGTGTATGAATTATATCCATTATATATGTTTATCGATAATTGTAGATTTAGATATAATGAGGCTGTTGACAAAAAAAAAAAAAAAAATATCGAACTGAATTGCATAATTATGAATCACAATCAAATGTATTTTATATTGGATTGATGAGAGAAGCACACTAATTTGTATATTGGGAAGAATTGTATATTGCTCTCGTAAGAATTATAATCATCGTTACATATAATTATATACTAGAGGTTTTCCTGAACAAGATTATATACTAGAGGTTGTCCTGAACTAGATAAGCACAAATATTCTTCATAATAATTACATAGTATTTACTATTAATATTATCTTCTAGATCTCTGAATATTCTTCTATACGCCCCTTCAAGTTCAATGATGTGATGAAGCAAAGCGGAGTTTGATGCTTGTGTTTGATTTTTTTTTCTGGGTACTTTCTAGGGGATCAAAACCCCTTATATGAATAGAGAATAATCATCTTCAACACTTTGACAGATCAGCATTTGAGATTAATTTAGAAGTGATAAGTAACTAACTAAAATTAAAACAATCCAATAAATAATTATGATTAAATAAATTTCATTAGTTAAATATAAAAATATATTTTATGGAATATGAAACATCTATTTATTTATGATTTTAAATAACAAAACTGAATTGGATATGAACTAAAAATAATTCAAGATATTAAGAAACCAGGAAAAACTACTTTTTTATTGTGAAAAATAAAAAAGAGATTTCTCAAAGTAATTTTTAGCAAAAAAAAACAAAAAAATTGATAATAATGATGAAACTCTGATGATGAATAAACCATTTACATAACAAATAGATATTTATTTTAAAATAGGATATATTTATAATTTAATGATAAAAAACATAAAGAAAAAAAGAAAATCATAACTATTAAAACAAAAAAGTATTTGATGGTATTTTAAAAGTTAAATAAAAAATAATAATCATTAAAATAAAATCATGATTATGTTTGATAGGTCTCTCCAAAAAATAGTATATAATATTATAAATTAATTGATAACATAAACTATAATATACAAATATATCTTTATAAAACTATATATATATATGATACAAAAAAATTCAATTATTATATTTGTGAAGTTATATTGTTCATGAGAAAATTACAGATTTTTTACAGGGATGTGTGTGTTCGTCCGAGTAGTACAGTTGAGCCTCTTAGATTATGCCTCGAGGGTTGAGCAGTATACACTCCCTGGATGAAAAAATTTTGGGGTCATGCAAACATTCGCAGCAGGGTGAATCGGGCTTTTGGGAGACCGGAAATGAGTTTTCCTCCCGAAAGTTTTCTGATGCTCAATTTAGATTACGTCCCGGAGTGAACAGATAATCAAGAGGGCAGATGGATGGTGATTGATTTATAGTTTGGATACCCCATCCAAGGATCGTGATACACTCTTCTGTCATTTGGCAAAGGAAAATGTGAAATGTATGAACCATTGAGAGAGTGGGGGTGGAGCTCTCTCTTAGTGGGGATATAGTAAAGAGATAGAGAAGATATGAATGCTTATCTTAGTTGGCGCTCCTTAGGGGGAACGTTAGAGGATCTTCAGCCTCTCGCCTCCGGGGGATGCTTGGTGGACCTTCGGCCTTTCTTCTCATCTTTGACCTCTTCTTCTTTCCTTATACATATTTTCCTCTAATCTGTCACATCCGAAAGATGCTTAGAGAGAGTACATATGCTCACACTCATTGGGAAGTCCGCCATATACCGAAGAACATTTAGGTAGGGAGTCGTTAGATAAGTCTTCATCATTTCGGCCGAGCCTACTACCGGCATATCTTTCACCTATATGGTACGGTAAAAATGAACTCAGCAAATATAATATATTTGAAAAGTTTTATACATATGAAATTCAAATAGACATATTTTATTTTTATTCCAAAATACATTTTAGTTTTAAAAAAACCCAAACGTACGTGCGGGTATTAGTCTAGTTTTATTAATGAAACAAAGCTTACACACGGACATGGCGAGACAATGTAGTCCCGTTTAAATCATCCGACATAGTAAGAGCAATGCTATCCGGAATAACAGGAAAGAAATAAAATCCCAAAGACAAGGAAAAAGCATAGTTAGCTAACTCATCAGCAAGACAGTTAGTCTCTCTATACACATGTTTTACGATTAGCCAATCCTTTGATAAGAAGCCATAACATATATAGTTGTACTAAGAACGACAAAGGATGATTCTCACTAGTCCCTGCCATAAAAAAACCCATTGTCGTTGAATCCACCTCCAACTCCACCCGCATAACTCTATACTCTCATGCAATGTATAGTCCATAGTAAACTCCCTCTGACTTTCGTGTGTGCAAGAGCTACATCTCTAGGTAACTCCTTTAGAAAGCGTACTTTATCTCGGCATCTTCCATTTATACCAAACACATTCCTACATTTCTATTTACATCCCTACCAGACTGTCATTGCAAACACTGTGGACCAGGGACTACTTGCCATGATTTCAGACACACCCAAGTTGCCATAGATCCATTCAAGCAAGGACATTCCAAAAAATAAGTGACACTTACCAGTGGGAACAATTATGTGCAAAATCCTTAGCATCGCAGGGCAATCTCGTAGCACATGCAGTATAGACTCCTCTCTCCTTTTACAAATCTGACAAAATCCTATCACGAAACATTTTTGTCAACAAAAGATGTTCTATTTTCGCTAAACTTTCCACTTAAAATGCAGTGGTTTGAAAGTGGCGGCAATCACAAAAACAGAAGACGCAAAAGCGAAACACATGGAAGAAGTGGAAGAAGGGTTAATGCGACTCAACAAAGCGTTTATTGCTCTAAGCAAAGGGAAGTCCTTTTTTGGAGGTGAAGCAATAGGGTTCATGGACATTTGCGTTGGAGGCTTTTTGGTTCTCTTGAAAGCTAGCTAAAGATAAGCTTCTAGATGAATCAAAAGTTCTTTATGTCTTTAAATGGGCTGACCAATTCTTGTGTGATGATGGTGAAGAATGTGGTACCAGAGATCGAGATTGATAAAGTCGCTGAGTTTCTAGGAGAGCTTAAAGCTAAAGCTCCACAGATTTTTAAATGATCCTAGAAATGCATGGCAATGTAGTTGTGTAATGTAAGTGTAAAGATAAATTCAAGTTTGAAATGTTGTGTTAATTGTATGCTAATATTTCATATAATCATGCAGTGTATGGATTGTTTCCATTATATATGTTTGTCGATATTGCTTTCAATTAAAAAAAAAAAAAAAAAGCAGATTAGTCGTCCCCATAGTCCACTATATTGCTCCCCCCTATCCTCTGACTTTTAGTGCATCTGCCCTGATAATAAGTCAAAAATAAATAAATTAAATTTTTTTTTTTTTAGGGGTCATACATAGATGATAGATCGAGATGGCATGAAATATTCTCTCTAAGAAACATATAAATAATTAGGGATTGCACAAAAAAAGAAACATATATAACTATGCCCTCTGCTTCATAAAATACAAAATTGTTTTGACACTAATTAGATGATAATAACATAAATTCAAAAATAGTTACTCATATCAAATTAGTTTGCCGTAAGCGCTATTGAGCCGTCAAATAAACTTTTAGAACTGGGAAATGATTTTTTTTTTTTAGAAAGAGACTGATTTTTGTTTTTTCTTGCGCAAAGAAAGAGACTGATTAATAGAGGAAATTAAGTAAAAAAACGGAATAAAAAGTTAAAAAGACATGAAAACAAAAGAAAACAACAAGTTAAAAAAAACTAAAAAACACGCTTTATTTATTTGAAAAAGTCACAAAAATTCAAAAAGAAAGATATGAAAAGCGAGTAATTAAATGCCCATTTGTAAAGACAAGGTCCCAGCCGCAGCTAAAATCCAGCTCTCCATACATATACACTCCTTCACACAAATTTCTCTCTATCAATGGAGATTTTTCAGAAGGCGAAGGCGGTTCGTTTACGTAGTCACCACGACAAGTACCTAATCGCCGACGAAGACGAAGAATCCGTCACTCAAGACCGTAACGGCTCAGCAGGCGCAGCAAAATGGACCGTCGAGCAAGTCCCTGGCTCCTCCAATCTCATCCGCCTCAAAAGCGCTTACGGCAAATACTTAACGGCGTCAAACAAACCGTTCCTCCTCGGAGCCACCGGGAAAAAAGTCCTCCAGTCAAATCCTAGCCGTCTCGACTCGTCTCTATCTTGGGAACCGGTACGAGACGCTGCTTTAGTCAAGCTCAAGACTCGGTACGGTCACTACCTCCGCGGTAACGGCGGTTTGCCTCCGTGGAGAAACTCCGTCACTCACGACATCCCTCATAGATCCGCGACTCAGGATTGGATTCTCTGGCACATTGACGTCGTCGAGATTCTCTCCGATCAACACCACCACCAACCGCAACCACCGTCTCCGCTTCACCATTCCGATTCTCTCGATTTCGCACCTGGATCTCCTTCTAGATCTGACCATTTCTTCAGACAAGAGGTGAATCTTTTCCCCAAATTTCGATTCGAATCGACTAAAATTGACGATTTCGTTGACTTTGATGTTTTGTGTGTGGGTTGTAGTCAACGGATTCAGTGGCGGTTGGATCGCCGCCGAAATCGGAAGGGAGAGTGATATACTACCACGTGGCGGACGATGACGGCGAGGTTGAAGATGATTCAGTTGAGGTAAGCTCGTTTACTTTCAAAGGCAACGGCGTTGAAGAGCTGACGAAGAGATTGAAAGAAGAGAGCAATGTGGAAGACGTTATCGTTTGTACTCGTAGTCCATTGAACGGGAAGCTTTTCCCGCTGCGTCTTCAGCTTCCGCCGAACAATGCCGACATGACCGTCGTCTTAGTCCCAATCTCATCGAAAAGTTAGTTTCTCTTCTCCTAATTTCGAGTCGAGAATTCGTTGCTTTGACACTGAACTGACATTTGAGTTCTTTGATGTTAAACAGTAGCAGAAGAGTTCATCAAGTGAGGAGGATGTGTGTATGTTTGAAGACTATAGCTGCAATTGATTTGTTGTTAGTTTCAGCTGTAAGATTGGATTTGCCTTGATTACAAAACTTACAATTTATACAAAAAAATTGGTTTTTTCCCCTTTTTATGCTTAATCTCATTGTTACCAGTAGTCTGAACAAGAACAGGACCCGTCTTTGAAGTGATGGAATCGAACACGATCTCTCACAATGATCTCAGTGTTGAAGACTTTCGAAATGAGTTTAGTAACCTCATGGCAATCATTGCAGACGCGTAGATTCTTGAATACACGGATTGGAGTTTGAGGTGGTAAGCTTATCAGACCAAAAGCGATAGCGAGTCTCTCGCTGTGCAGCCTTAGGGAACACTCTTTGCTGCTACTGTCGTCGACTAAAGGCGCTTGAGATCCGTCCGGTGAATAACCGATCGATCTCAGCTTCTCCTCGACCACTTTCAGCTGTTGGTATATCTGTTTCGTCTGAGGATGCGACGTGTCTCCGGCGAAAAACTCGTGGGAGACGCCGTTTATCTCGATGGAACTGCATCCTGGCTCTTTTCGAACTCCGTGTTCAGTCATTAGCTTTCTGACGATCCCAACATCGTTCCACCGGCTCGCCGATGCGTAGACCCTAGACAACAGAACATATGCGCCACTTGAACTTTGGTCGTCCTCTTCCCTTGTTTCATCAAGCACCCGTGTAGCGATTTCTTCGCTTAGCTCTACACTAGCACCCTTTTTGCAACAAGCGTCAAGGAGACTTCTCCAAATCACTGCATCTGGTTTCATCGGCATGCTCATTATTACATCGAGAGCTTCAATGATGTAGCCTGCACGGGCTATTAAGTCGATGATGCAACCGTAATGCTCCAACGCAGGTTCGATGCCGTAATCTCTGACCATCATGTCGAAGTACATGCGTCCTTTGTTTACCATCCCACGGTGGTTGCAAGCTATGAGGATGGCAACGAACGTCACTGAGTTCGGTTTAACATTCTCGCTTTTTCTCACCATACGGTCGAAGCAATCTAGAGCTTCTTGAGCTCTTCCGTGTGTAGCAAAACCTAGAATCATTGCGTTCCATGAAGCCAAGTCGCGTTTTTGCAACCCGTTGAACACTTGCTCAGCCATTCTCAATGACCCGCATTTGCAGTACATTTCGATCAACGAGTTCTTGATCAGAACATCCATAGCAACAAAATTGAAGACATCGCGTTTTCGCAGCAGAAACGCGTGTGCCCAAGCGCCTAGCGACAAAGATCCGAGACCAGCACACGCGCTCAGAACACTCTGCATCGTGTAACCATCCGGTTCGAAGGATTTCTGCATCTCTCTAAACATCTCCAACGCCGAACCATACTCCCCGTCACGAACCAGAGCATCGATCATCGAGTTCCACGAGACAAGACTTCTCTCAGGCATTTCATCAAACACCTTCTTTGCTAAATCTAAACATCCACAAGACCCGTACAAATGAATCAAACCGTTGTTCACATACACATCTCCACTAAGCCCGTGTTTAACAATCTGACAATGAACCTGTTTCCCTTCGGATAATCCGAATATATAAGCGCAAGCTTTCAAGACAAACGGAAACGTGTGTTTATCCGGTGACGATTTTCCTCTCTCTAACATTTTCCGGTAAAGCAGGAAGGCTTCTTCTTTCCTTGAAACGTCGTGTGCACATGCTCTGATGAGTGTGTTCCACATGAATGAGCTATGGTTTTCTTGGATCGAATCGAAGAGACGGAATGCGTAATTGACGTCGGAGAAGGAGGAAGAAAGCTGGAGGATTCTGCCGTAGAGAAACAGAGTGGCGGTTTCGTCAGGGTAAGTGGTACGGAGAGTGAAGGCGTGAAGCTGCTTGAGCTGAGACATGTTTGAGCATGTTTCGGACAAGGAGAGAACGTGTCGGTGATGGTTACCGGCGGCGGAGAATGAAGGAGCTCCAGTGGAAGTGGGAGTTGCAGGTGGGACATGGGGAGACAATGGGTGGAGCAGAAGTCCGATAGACATTGGATGATAAGTTCGGAGTTCGAAGTGAAAACGATAACTGTACAAATATTTTATAATTTTAAGTTTGAATGTTCATCCAAAAATTAAAATTCCCCTATAAAATTTGGGAAAAATACTTATTTAATTCATCGGCTATTTGTAATGGACAAATTAAATGCTCAACTATTATTTGTGAAAACTATTCTTCAATTTGTAGTTGATTTCGCAAAATTGTAATCAAAATAATCAACAGTTAGGCGAGACGTTAAACATATTTCCTATCATCAGAAAATACTCATTTAATTCCGTAATTATTTGCAATTGATACGTTAAATTCTCAATTATTTGCATGCGCATAATAATTCTTCAACTAATAGTCAACTTTGCAAAATCGTGATAAAATTATTTTTGAGCATTTTGAAATAGCCTTCCCGTAATATCCTATATTCTTTCCGAATTTTCTGTCACTTTCCTAATTCTGTTTAAAATAATTATATGTCTTGAATCATTTATTTTATATTAAATGGACATGGAAATACAACAACTATGAGATCTGATAACTGCATTACTTATTTAAAAATTTAATATATTTTCTAAATTTTTGCTAAATTATCCAAATTTTCCTAAATTTCTCAAAATTATTCAAAATATATGTCTCGAAGTCTACTCTTACCCAAAATAATTATCCGAAGTTGACCGTTATGCAAACTTTCTTTTCATTTTTATCGGATTCTCTTTTGGGAATTATTTTTCAATTTTTAATATTTTCGTTCCTGTTCTGTAGCCGTAAATTCTTGTCTATCACAAATAATCGGGAAATTAAATGAACATTTTTAAGAATCGATAAATACCCATTTAGAAATTGGTTTTGGTTCGGTTCTTTTCAGATACATGTTGATTCAGTTCTTATTTTTAAGAACCGATAAATACCTGGTTTTTTGGGATGTTTGGTTTGATTCAGGAAGGATATTTTGGAGAAATTGGGAAATTTTCGTGAAAGTTTGCGTAATGGGACATGTTCATAAAATTTTCTTAACTAAAATTCTTTTCAAACGGATAATTAATTTGGGAAAAAAACAACTTCAAAACATATATTTTGGATAATTTCAGAAAATTGGGAAAATTTGGATGATTTTGTAAAATTCTGAAAATATATTAAATGTTTAAATTTTTATTTTTTAAATGGGTAGTTCAGTTATTAGATTTCATAGTTGTTGTCTTCTCTTGCCCAATTAGGTTAAATTAAATGATTCTAAAAATGTAATTATTTTAAACATAATTGGGAAAGTGACGGGAAATTCAGGACATATATATGACGTTACGGGACAGCCATCCCGAAATGTCCAGAAATAATTTTATCACAATTTTGTGAAGTTAATCTCTAGTTAAGGGATTATTATGCGCATGCAGATAGTTGAAAATTTAATATGCTGATTGCAAATAGTTGAGAAATTAAATGAGCATTTTTCTAATGACAGAGAAATAGATTTAATGTCTTGCCGTTTCGAGGTTAACGGTTGACTATTTTGATCATGATTTTGTGAAGTTGACTACAAATTGATGAATTATTTTGCGCATATGATAGTTGAAAATTAAATATGTCAATTGCAAATGGTGGAGAATTAAATGAGCATTTTCCTACAAAAATTGATGTTTTTTTCTTATAAACAATTGCAAAGTTATATTTTTTCTTCTACTTCAATAAATTAGAACACTATGAAAATAATTAACAAGACAACAAAATAGCATAAGAAACTTCAATATAGAGAGATGAATAAGTTTCAATTTTTTTCCTCCATTGTTTCTCTTCAATATATCTATATATATATGTGGAATAAATATGTTATATATATATATATATATTAGAGCAATAATTTGGAGAAATCGAGAGGATAAAATATATCTGAGTACAAAAAATAAATATATCTGAGTATTCAAAATAATTTTCTCTTAAGAACATCTTCACCGATACAAGCGTATTTAAAAAATATTATATTAATATGGTATATTTAATGGAAATACATGATTGACTAAAAATAAAGAAAATAATAATAAATAATTTAAAATTAGTTTTGTGATAATTTTATTAGTAATCATAGCTTATTTATACTCTCATATGATTGACAGAATTTACATGACTACTGACATTAAATAAAAGAGATACTAATATATAACATATTAAATGCATAAATTGTCAAATATATTTGCAATAATTTTTAACGAATATATATGATGATATTAAAAATATATGTTAATAAAAAATATAATGATATCAGCAATATATGTTAACAAATATATCAGTGATATTTGCTAAATATTATTAACGAAGTTATATACAATTATTAATTAAGTTAATAATGACTATAATAAATTCTGTAGAGAAAAACATGTTATCTATTTAATGACAATATGTTAGATAAAATGTTAACATAAATTATTGACATTATGATTGAATTTTAACACAATTAAATGCAATTAAATTGAACAAAATAATTAGTATATTTATCATTAAAAAGCGGGAAAAAATTTATCATTAAAAAGATGTTAACAAAGTTCTATATAATTGTTAATTATGCTAGTGATAATAAATAATAAATTTTGTAAAGATAAACATATTACTTATTGAATGACAACTATCTTAAATGAAAATGAAATTCTAACATATTAGTTTTTGGAATAATTGATTCGGACTTATATTTACAGTGAGCCACATCACCTTAGTTAGAGAAGAAGCTATTGGCTTGTCGATCAACATTGTATCATACTATTTTTTATTTTATTTTTATTTATTTTTAATATTTTTATATATCCAAATTAAATAAATAAAAATTTATTTATAGAGTACTCAAAATGATAAATTTTGATATAAAAATAAACATATAAATTAATTTAGTATAAGATAGTTAATTTCAAAAACTTAATAAAAATTTAAACAACTAATGATAATGTGTCACCTAACATTGTCTCGCTTCTTCTTTTTATGTTTCAACACAATTGAATACACATCATATTAAACACACTTTTTAATATTTTCATTGTATCAGTTCAACAGTTAAAATTTTGTTTTTAACACCCCTACTCTACATAGTGATAGAATAAATACTCTCACTCAATTAATAAATTAGATGTTAAAAAGTAAAGGTAAACGACCTGCGACTGGGCTTTGATTTGGGCTTAAACGACCCATAAGGCCGTAATCCACATGATCCGACACCTCCTTAAAACTTAAAAGTTTGAAACGCAGCGTTAAGCTTATCCAATAACCAGCTCGCAAGACAAGTGGATGTACTATCCATCTTTGTGTAACAATAATTGATTTGAAATTGAAAAAGCTTTCCATTAATGTATTATACAAATTGTGCCAACATTCTGCTTGTCATGTTCTACCTTACACGCACTCCACTCTCTCTTCGTCTCCTTCCTCACGCCTTCTCTTCATTCTTCTTCTTCTCCTTCTCAAAATCTCCCAGTTCATTTGATCCTCTGCAATATCTCCGATTGGGTTTGAATTATTCTTTTGTATAATTGACTTAATTGTGAAAAAAAGATTCGAAATCAATGGGTGTTGATTACTACAATGTACTAAACGTGAATCCAAGCGCGAGCGAAGATGATCTGAAGAAATCATACCGGAGATTAGCGATGAAATGGCACCCTGACAAAAACCCCACGAGCAAGAAAGAAGCTGAGGCTAAATTCAAGCAGATCTCCGAAGCTTACGACGTTCTGAGCGATCCTCGTAAGCGTCAGATCTACGATCAGTACGGAGAAGACGGGCTTAAGTCTTCGGATTTTCCCACGGCAGGAGAGACGGCGGCGGCTCAGCAGCGGAGTTACTCCTCCGACGCTGGGTTCCGGTACTATCCGCGAGACGCGGAGGATATCTTCGCCGAATTTTTCGGCGCGTCGGGGGAAGTGTTCGGCGGAGGGAGCAGCGGCGGCGGCGGGAGGAGGAACGGTGAAAACGGAGGGAGTAGATTCAGAAGCGCGGAGGCGGGAAGTCAGACGACGAGTAGGAAAATGCCGGCGAATAGGAAAGCTCCGGCGATTGAAAGCAAATTGGCTTGTACTCTTGAGGAATTGTATAAAGGTGGAAGGAGGAAGATGCGAATTTCACGCGTTGTTCCTGATGGTCTTGGGTTAGTATAATTCCATAACACTCTCTCTCTCCTTGTGATCTCGATGAAATGCCATTGTTTCAAATCAGTTTCGTAGTTTAGATTCATAGTTCTTTGATTTGGTGAACTTTCTGGAAAGATGAGGAAACTGGGAATCAAAATTGAAATGAATTTGCTTTTTCTTGTGTGATCCAATGAATGATCTTCCATATAAGTTTCTTGTTGCTCTGTTTTTTGTGTAGAGCTTGTCTCATCTCTGTGACTGATTTGATAATGAAACTGGGGAATCATTGTGAAACACTGATGTGTCAAGACAATTTTCTCTGTGTGATCATGTGGACGATGTTGGTTTTGTTAGATGAGATCTTCCTCAATATGTTTTTTTCTTTTGCTCTGTTTTGTGAAGAGCTTATGTCTTCTCTTTGACTGATCTTGAGAATGAAACTGGGAATCAAGATGAAAAACTGATCTCTCTTAACAATTTTCTCTGTGTGATCGATCATGTGGATGATGTTGGGCTTGTTAGATGATATTCCTTAATATGTTTCTTGTTGCTCTGTTTTGTGAAAAGCCTATGTCTTCTCTGTGACTGATCTTGAGAATAAATTTGGTAATCAATGTGAAACACTGATATGTTTTGACAATTTTCTCTGTGTAATCCTGTGGATGATCTTGGTTTTGTTAGATGATCTTCCTTAATACGTTTGATTATGCATAAGCTTAGTTGCTTTAGATTTTTGAATGTGTCTTGATTGCAGAAAGCCAAAGCCAGTCCAAGAGATCTTGAAAATAGACATAACACCAGGATGGAAGAAAGGAACAAAGATAACTTTCCCGGAGAAAGGAAACCAAGAACCAGGCGTCACTCCCGCTGATCTCATCTTCGTCATCGACGAGAAACTACATTCGATCTACAGAAGAGACGGAAACGATCTGATCGTAGACAAGAAAGTCTCGCTCTTGGAGGCTCTAACGGGACTCACTCTTACCCTAACGACACTAGACGGGAGGAACCTGACAATACCGGTTTTGGATATCGTTAAACCGGGTCACGAGATTGTGATCCCTAACGAAGGGATGCCCATCTCTAAAGAAATTGCAAAGAGAGGTGATCTCAAAATCAACTTTGAGATATGTTTCCCTTCGAGGCTAACATCAGACCAGAAGACAGATCTCAAGAGAGTTCTTGGTGGAACCGGAATCGATAACTAGTTTCAAGAAGTAAGGTTCTTGAATTCGAAAAGTCAGATTCGGTGTACATATACAATGTGTTACAGAACACACTCTGAATAAAGAGTTTCAAGGTGAAACAGATCAGATCTTTTTTCGGTTTTGATCTCATCAAAGTTATATATGTGTAACTCTGGACTTTTGAAAAGCCATTTGAAGATGATCTGCAACTTTTTTTTTTTTTTTCATTTACTCTATTTACATGTACTTCGAAATGGGACTTTGTTGATGGTTTAGTTTTTTTTAGTTAACAAACCATGTTCACATAACAATTGTTATAGGATTTTTTTTACGTAGATGTGATTAAATTTCATACAAATGTGTTAAGAGAACATTACTCTTTTGCTAATAAGATTTTGTTCATTGTTTTTGTGTCTAAACACGAACTAACTAAATCTTAAGTGATGTCTCAAGAGTGTTCAAACATTTTTATTCATTATTTTTGACAAAACAATAAACCGAAAACTCAACTTCAAAAAATGAAACACACTCACACTCAAAAGTATTATAAACTTTTTTTTAGTTGGTTTTGTTAAACATTCAAAACCCTATGCTTTTCAATCTTGTACACAAGCTCATCAGGTTTGGCTCCAACAACCCTATCAATCTCTTCTCCTCTCTTCACAAAAACAAAAGCTGGAAGTGTATTAGCTCTATATGTCCCAGCCACATCCTGCAAATACATACAAATAACTTAGTCTTGAGACTTACAAACTCATGGTTTAAGTTAAAATAAAACCGTAAATGATTATTCCACAAGTAAAAGAAAGAGAGTAATTACCATTAGTCTATCCACATCAACCTTAGCAAAAACAGCTTCTGGATACCTTGAAACGATCTCTTTAACTCTAGGTTCCATTGCTTTACAAGGTCCACACCATCCAGCTGTGAAGTCAATCACCAGCTTCAAAACCACCACATTTTTTTTCAGTTAGATTAGAGCAAAACCAATTTAATATCATGTCAACAAGATTAAATACTGAAGTGACTAATAGTTGTGTAACATTTACCAATTTATTTGAGCCTTTCATGGAATCAAAGAGTGATCTCCATTGTCTTCTTGATTCGATTTCTACAATCAAACCATTCTTGGTTTCCAAAACCATCGGTGAAGGAACATCATGCACAGATGAAACATTGGAGCCCATTATCTTTCGAATGTGTAGTGTATAGGGAAATGATTTACACTATTTTGCTTGTGAGTCGTGACTACTATGAAAATAAGAAAGACAATGAGGAACTTTATATAGATTTTAGACGGTATAGTTTATTTATTACAACAAATAAACAAATGTATAATGGAATATGATTCAATTTGCAATCCTTCTCTAACCGTTGGTTTTGTTTTTTTTTAAGAATATGGAGCTTATCCCAGTTCAGTTCCATTTTGTTTTCTAAGTCCCATTTCGTTGTTCAATATTCTCCACTATAAAATTAAATATTATACTGGTATTAAATATTATATTGAAAAATAGTATACCGCCGAATAAAAGTTAAAGAACTAAAACTATCATACACCTCTTTGATCTTAAATGGGTTCTACTTAACGTGCTAATTCATGTTTTTTTTTAGATCTATGTTATATTTTGCTTCCCTTTTGCTTATTCAGGTTCTCTTCTTATTTTGGGATTATGCCTTACATAATTTCCATAAAAACTAATAGAAATAAGTTAGAATAAAACGAGAAAAGAAAAGGTGAGAAGGACGATGCAGCCCAACGTAGTGTTGTTTGGCGTGGTAGAGAATATTGCTTTGTGTCTGTGTTAAGGAGCTGTCATCAACTCTTCCCCAAGGTTTCTTCTTATTCCATTTTGGTACCTTAAGAACGTACAAAATAGGAATAATACGTGAAAATGATTTTGAAATTTAAAATTTATTCGATAGTGAGGACCATGCACGTAAAACTGTCTTTACCATATTTCCCATAAACTATCACCCCATCCTATCATAAGAACTCACAACTATGCTAATTCTCAAAGAACTAGGACTAGCGATTCAAAATTCAATTCCGTGAAGATCGAATATCTTAAGTTTTGGAGAATTTTGGGATGGATTTGGACACTGACTCGAATATAATGATTCGAAAACTCACAAAACTTTTTTTTTTTTTTTTTGTTAAAGGGCTTTCATAAACTTTCTTTCTTTTCTTTCTTTTAAAAAGAAAAATTATAGAACGTTTATATAAAATTGATGGATTTACATATATAAACTATTCGAGACAAATATGTCATGTTTATTAATATATTTTTAATCTATAATACATCACATATTTTTTAAACACCAAAATTTACATAAACTCCGAAACTTTTAATAATCTTTCCTAATTGTATTTAGAAAGTTAAAAATGGTATTGGTAGTTGAGAAATAAACTATAAAAGATGGTTAGAGAGTTACACATTGTTTATCTTTGTACCAAACAAAATTTTAATATTTGGTATTTTTACTTGTCAAAAATACATATTTTCCAGGTTTCATTTCATGAAGTAATCGATACTGAACAAACCACTGAACTTACATGCATGTCCTGGTCAGTATTTAGTAACTCATAAATTAAAACTAATCACGTTTACATATTCTACCATATTAAAGAAAATGATGTTTAATTTAGTCCTTGCCTATGAATTATATGGTTTTGACTTTTTTTGTTCTTTGTTGTTAATATTATTACGGAAATGAGATACATGGTGAATTTACGGAAACCCAACGGAAAACATCTATTCGGAAAATGGAGCCCAAACAAAAGAAACAGTAGCTCAAAAAAGGAAAAGCAAACATAACTCGACCCAAAAACAGTCTAACGAAAGAGATTAAGAATTTAAGAGTAGCATAAGACTGAAATGAGAGTTAAAGCAACAAAGATAAACATTACCTTATTCTTCTTGAGGAATGGCAGAGGACTTAAAGTTCATATTACGCCCACTACGGTCACGAGCGAACGTGCAAGGATGGAGCCACGAACATACAAAGCCCGACCAGACCAACCTCAGAGTACCGGTTAAAACGAACGAACAGAATTTGTTAATACGGTTTTGACTTCTTATATTTTATCGGAAATAATATATCATATGTTGACAAAGAATGATATATTCGTCTGGGCCTCTGGGGGACGTTCTTCTTTTCCATTTAAAAACTTTAAATTGGTTTTTCCATTGTAAAGCTCGCATAAGTGCTAGCCACATATTTTATTCCTAGGTCGATTTGCAAAGATTCTGATACGTTTCTCCACAATATTCCACAAATGTCACCCACATCTTTATATAATCATATATAAAATATAAAATTTCAACCTTTTTATTGTTTTATTATAATCATATCATTAAAAATCATATAATTTTATTGTAAATGATGATTAGTTGATTATATTTACGATGATGATGAACACCTCTACAAACACCTAGTACACAGCCGAATTTTATCCTTACAATACATAGATTCAGGGTAAACGATTATACTCGCACTATATTCATAGTGTACTTGGAAACAAAGAAAAATTGATCAATATTGGTGTACTTACACATATTGGTTCGATCATTTGATATCGTAAAGCAGTATCCTTTTTATCTATATACATACAAAATAAAAAGATTCTACATGTTGCAATGGTTAATCAAATAAACCATAAATTTAATAGTTGCAATTATTCACTTCAATCTCACACATGATAGGGAACGTGTGGACGGCCAGCTACGGCGACTGATGGTGAGCCCTCTCTCTCTATGGAAATGATGGCATCGATTTCAGGGCTCTCGAGATTCTCTTTCTCATTTGCTTTTCTTGCAGCGACAGAGATTCTTGCACATATACATTGATAGTCTGATACACATATATGATGAACAGTGAACACACAACAATATCCTTTCGGCGTTTTGAGATTTTAATCCAAGTGGACTTTGGGCTTTACAAGCAGGCCTATAAAAACAATTTCGGTTCGTTACAAGAACAAAGTTATAAAGAACAGTGAGGAAAAGTCCAACAGTACCTTGCGCAGAAAGCAACCGAGATCCACCGTTTTTCACTGCCGCGTTCGAATTTAAGTTTTAATAAATTGATTATCTGAATTTTTTTTTCTGGTCAAACTATTAACAATTTAGTTTTAAAAAATATATTTAAATCCACCACAATCATCAGTTTTTAACATGTAAATGTTCTGAAATTTGCTCTTTTAATTATATAGAGGCATGCATGCAAACCTTCATATCCGCTATCGGCAGAACTCTGACCAAATTTCGTGCTTCCAAAAATATTTGATGTGCCTTCCAGTAATCCATCTATTTAAAAAAAAATGAACACAATGAGTACCACATTATTACTATAATGAATAATACATTATTGTCGAAATAACTCTCACTTCGATACCAAATCTCATTTTCATAGCTTTGGCAACATGACTTGGCAAAACATTTACCCCAACACCACCAACATGATCCTTATACAAAAGTTTAAGTATATCTGGCATTGCTTGACGAGACCGGGCAGAACGTTCTATACAGAACATGTATTTTGTAACATACACACAAATAGTAAACTGAGGGGAGTCTCCAACTGGTGTAGCTCGAACTCTCCAAGTGCAGCCTTCCACCCAACACTTAACTACTAAAAGCTTGGGCCTTGATCTGTCAACATCAAAATCAAATTGATGTATAACTGATAGAATCTTCAATTTAGTTTTCAATGCATCTTTAGAGGCGTATTGTTGTCTAATGGCTAGATTAAGTGAAGTCATCTTCAAACATGTGGTGTGACGCCCTTTACTTTCTTGGTCACCATTGTGGGTTTCATCTTCTTAATAGGTAGGCTTTGTTTCATTTCTTCTTTATCTTCCAAAGGCATCTCATACAAACTAAAATCCACATCATCCGATGATGCCCCGTCAGAATCATCACAATAATCGAACCGGTTATCATTGTCATCCTTGTCTTGATTTTCTATACATGGTGTAACCACATCAATCTTCACTCTGTTTTTATCAGCATGATTGTCTTCATGTTTCTAATCCTCATGTTTACTCTGCATATCACATGCAATCGAAATGTCCTTTGGTTTTTCTTCTGATGAACATGCTTCCTTATCCACAGATTTCTCCTTCAGTTCAATGCAAACCCGCACTGGTTCAGTTTTTAGTTAGCCTAGAAACCTTGAAGTTGTCTGCAATTTTTGACTTTTACAGGAATAGTATTTTGAGGCAACTTTAGCAAAACTTTTTAAAGAAACACGTAGCTTAATTCCACATCATAGAATCCATTCAACCTTGTAATATTTAATAACCATGCGAATAAAATCTCCACAACGAGTATTATTATTTGCTGTGAGAATTTTGCACCATTTTTGTGATCAACTTCAAATACCCATTTGTTTTTTTGGCCACAAACAAGAATAATTTGATCTATTGAATAAAAAAAGAAGTCAAAGTATTTAATTGATCATGATGATCTAAAAGTAGAGAAAAAAAGATATGAGTGCTGGAAAAGAGAGTAGTCGACGTATAAGTGGAAAAGTGGCAGTCCTAAATAGAAGTTAGGTTTGTTAATTTAAATGAAAAATTACCATGACTAGAGTAGCGTAAATCTGTTGTAAAAAAAACACAAATCTGCCAGTGCAAAGTCTGTTGGCGAAGGAAAAAATGCAGAAAGCTATTGTACTAAAAAAAATAATTTGTCGTCTACATGATCTAAATTCTGCCATCAAATAAATGAGTTTTGTTCAAAATCACAAAACTGCTGCAAAATGCATCAAAGACTGTTATAACAGACAAGTTAGTATAGTAGTAAAATTGTAAACAAAATTTTGATGACAGACTACTAAAAAATCTGTTGATAATATTAAAATCTGTTTTGTAGTAAAATTATTAATCTGTTAGAAAAATAAATCTGTGAGATAAAACTGCTGTAGTATAATAAATCTGTTAAAAAAAATATATATGTCATATCATAACAACAAATCTATGAAAAAAAACACTAACTATAACTGATATCCCAATAAAAAAACTGATATCTCATGTGGTAGATTTATTGAAAAAATCTATTACAGTGACTATAATTATCACTCGGATAAAAAAACCTTTTACATAGTATGATAGACTTATTAAAAAATCTGTTATTCAAATTACAAATCTGTCATGTGTAATAAATCTGGTGAATAATATAAAAATCTGTAGTCAAATAAACGACATATTTTGACAGCATAATATATATTTTTGTCCAAAATTTAGTGGCAATTTTGTTAATATTGAACTTTTTTGAGAAAAAATATTAATGACATTTGTGTAAATAGTTTTCTTCTACTAAAACCTAAAAACCTAAAAGAATACTATAGACATGAAAAATTAGTCGGTAATTATATTAAAATAAAAGTTACCCTAATAATTAACATTAGTTTTTGAACTATTTAAGTAATCTTTCCTATATATATATATACATGTATATAATGACAACGAATAGTGTAAATTTTGAGAGCTGTTTCCAAGCAAATCTCGTGGACTCCTCCTCATCTTTTATGATATCAATCGAAATCATCTTGGGTTTCTTATGTGCCATAAGTCAGATAAAATTTCATAAAATGTCAATGCATAGCGCAAAACCCTATAATCTTTCGTCTAACACATCTTGATGTAGTAGAAACTACGATAAAACAGTTCAACTAAAGGATTCAAGAAATCGATTGAAATTTACCAGCTCAACCAACAGATTCGATGTAACCCTCACTTATGACCTGTTTCTTGAACTCGTTGAAATCTTAATAGATCTGCCAAAAACAAAGAATAAAGAATACTCTTCTTTTCAAAACTCTTTTTTAAAATTAACAACAAATACAATATTATACCAAAATAATTTATTTATAATAAATTCAAAAACCCTAAAAAACTTAAAAATAATAAAAATAAATTATCTAAATAATAAAATAGATAATAAATGATATTTAGAATCCAAACAAGGATTCTATTGAATTGTTTAATTGAGCTGGTAAGTCTCAATCAATTTCTTAGATTTTTTTAGTTGAGCTATTTTATCATGGCTTCTGCTATATTGCAGAAAGTCGAAGTTTTAAAAGAGTTGGATTGTCCAATATGGGACCCAATACCCTAGCCTATTCAATAACTTCAACGATTTCACAAATATAACTTTTTGAATTGCATTTTTTACTTTCGGAAATTTTGCTTTGTTTCCCAATGGCTTGTAAATTATGATGACATGGCGTAGCCAATATTTCATTCACTATAAAAATAAGAAAAAAAAAACCATTTTTGTAATACTTTCTTCGTTTTTTATATATAAAATATTTTAGAATTGTTTTTTCAAAACTAAACGATATTTTCATAAATCAATACAAAATTTATTTGTTTTAACTATTTAAATTATATATATTATTTTTCTATTAGTTGAGTTATGTTGGAATTGATGTTTTATTTTTATGTTTTATTTTGAAAAAAAAAATTCTTAATTTATATGTAAAACTTTAAAAATTATATTTAATGTTGGCATTGATATTTTATTTTTAAAAAATAAAATACAATAATTTCTTAATTTATATGTAAAACTTTAAAAAATTTATATAAAAAACAGAAGGAATAATAAATAGTGTGGTGTAGATTTAACATACTCTTTTTCATGGATTCTAAATCTAATAGAAGTACAACTTATGAGGTATGCATCGATTCCAAAGAGACTTGGAATACTGTCCGACTCTCACGACCTAAGGTTGACTGGTTCCATTCAGTCTGGTCGAGGGTCGCAATCCCAAAGCATGCTATCCCTACTTGGCTCTTTGTGCTGAATCGTAATCCAACCTTAGACAGAGTTACCTCTTGGGGTCTGGATGTAGAGCCTATTTGTTTGCTTTGTGGCGCTACAGAGGAATCCCGAAACCATCTTTTCTTTGAGTGCCCCTACTCAAAGTCTATTTGGGAGGCGTTGACTCAAAAATTATTGCTCCCTACAGCAGTTCTCTTTGCCTGGTCATCGGTCTTGGCGAGACTTTCCTCTGCCTCTACTACCTCAATTCAGCATCTGGCATTAATTCAAGGTTGGCAAACTACGATCTACGAAATCTGGAAGGAGCAAAATCGCCGATACCATGAAGGTCTCTCGCTCCCTTTCTCTGCGGTTTTTCAAAAGATTCTGAAAGTGGTGTACCTCAAATCCACCGCTTTGAGGAATAGAGGATCAAAGCTTGGTGAGCCTTTGCTGCTCTGTTGGTCAAATCGCTGACTTCTTTCAATCGTGCTATCCGGGTTTCACTGATCTGATTCTATATTAGCTGCTGCTAAGTCCATCCCCCCATCTCTCTTTTGTATGGTTTTTTCGATTCTGCTTGTATCTGTTACTTTAATTTTAATTTTAACGAAAATCCTTTAACAAAAAAAGAGGTATGCGTTGATTTATGTGCGCAGTTTAAAATTTCGATTCTCTATGCATACATGATGTATCTTATAATAGTCACTGTATACGTGTATGCTTACGTATGTAATGCGTACATTACATATTCGTGAAATTTTCCGCGGTAGACGTATTGTGCGAATGTTATAAATACTGTACATACATGCACTGTTGCACAATCATTCGTTTATGTATCTATATATAGTCACTCGCCGACCAAAGGAAAACCCGTGAAATTCACTCCATACGTGTATGCTTACGTATGTAACACCATTACATACATATATTCATGGAAGTTTCCGATGTTGATCAAACCAAAAAAGACAAGGAAAAAAGATTCTCAACAGCCTAAAAGTTTTCTCAAGATCAGTCTAATCTTACCTACCGTTTCTACGGCTGGAATATAAAACAATGTATATAAGAGAGGTAGTTTGTGAATAGCCAAAAATGTGTAACACAGTTGAAAATAACATCATAAGAGAGACATATAACTAGAGAAACAACTAATTGTGAGTGTGCGTGGACAATTTTTGAGACGTCACAGATTAAAAATATCGATTTAAATAAGACCAAATAAAAGATCTTATACAATACCGTTAGAAAAATAAAGGAAATTGTTAAATTTCTTATCTATTTGACATTCTATAAAAATCTGAGGCTATTCCTGGATGCAATGCAAACATGACATAGTTTACCTCCAAAGTGGATATCTCCGTAATCAAACTTACGTTCATCTCCGATGTTACAAATATCGGAAATGATTTCATTGTCATTTCACAAACTATAAACCATATACCTCACCCAATTTCTCTAATAATAACTTCAAAAATATATTCCTTATATTTTGTTATTCCAAGTATTGAAAAGTTTTCACGAAGGGTCCAATCATAATAATTTTTTATATAAATTTGGGTTGGGGTGGGGGGTCCGAATATTTTATATTGAAACTAACTCTCGATTTAACTTTGTGCATATGCATGGTTCATTTCCTTTCAACTCGAAATCCCAAGAATCTAGCGTCCACTATAATATGTCCACCTTTCTTGTTCGTGCTGTTAAAATTTCCCACTTTACAATCGAGGAGTTAAAGTTTGTCTGTATTTTTTGCTTTCGATCGATTCTATATGGTCTGGTTTAGTCTGATCTATTATTACTATTAGATTTGGTTTACTTGCATTTAATTTGGAATAGTCTTAAGTTTGTACACGAACACACACTAACTAAACTGATTTACCTCCATTTCATCAAAAATATTGTTTTAGAGTTTTATTTTTATTACACAAAAAGTGTTACTTTGTAATTCTAATGCAAAATTTAAACTAAAATTCAGTTTTAACCTTATTATATTAGTGTATTAATTAAAAAAGAATATTGTTTAATATATTTATAAGAGATAAAATAGATTTTTTACTATTTTTTTTTAATTTGTGTGAAAAGTATCAAAATAATAATCTTTGTAAAACGGAAGAGGTAATAAACTAAAAATATATAAAACTAGAAAACTATCATAAAATAAAATAAGTTATGAAATAAAATTTTAATTATAAAACAACAAGTAATATGAAACGCATAGAGTATATAATAATTTTGATAACTTTGTTTTAAAGTGATCTCACAAGTCCCTATATTAGTTAAGAACATCTATCACTCATCCAAGACGGTAGAGAAGTTGATTGAAAAACTGTGGTTTATTCTCATATTAAAAGAATGTTTTTCCCCGGTTTCTGATTGGTTTAACGAATATGAATAAGTTTAACTCACAAGTGACTTACTGACATGACCTGAGTTAGTGCAGGTGAGCAGGTGCGCTTGATTTTCTGAGGTAATCTGACCACTCATAACTTTGGGAGAGGAAAGACTTATCTATCAAGCCGTTCGAACTTTTGTAGGATTGAGTTGAAACATTTCTAGTATCAATCAAATGGACCTCTAAAAAAAAAATGAAAGTACATGATTTTTCTACTAAAATAATTAATGACAGTGCTAAATACTCTGTAATAATATATGGCGGGTTTTCCCCAAATCTGAATGACGATTTAAACCCAAACAATGTAGATATTTGAAATACTTGTCAAAGTTAGCAAATTTACTAAAACTGTTTTCTTTTTAAAAAAAATAATATATCATTGAAAATATTTGGAAATCTAAATACAATAAACTCTAAACTCTAAATACAATAAACTATAAACTAAATTTTAAAAGCTAAACCTAAAATCATAAACTTACTCCAAGTTCCAAACCCAACATTTTAAATTTTAAAATCTAAACCCAAAATCATATACTTTAAAGCATATTAAAAAATAAACCATAAACAAAAATGCTTTTTAAGAAAAAAAGAGAGTAATTACTCAATTTTTAATTTAAATTTTTGTTATTTATTATTCATTTTTATTAATATTCTATTGTAGTTTAAAAAGAATTTTGAAGACTTTAACCTAGTGGTATCATATTAGTTCGATGGTAGATGTTGAATTATTAAAGATCCGCGTCATTATCTCCTTGTGGTCATTTCATAACTCGATCCTCAAAATCGAAAGTCAAAGGCTTTGACTTTTGTATACATTATTATTTCTTTCCGAGAGTGATTTCCCAAGAGAAAAAAAAACATGAGTTATTGCCTTTTTATGAAATTATGGAATAATATATGTAGAGCTTGAAATTTTGGTAAAAAAAACACCAGATACATATAAGAGTTATGGTCTTAAATCTCAACTATTGTGGGGTTAAATAGTTTTATGGATTTGAATTAATCTAAAATTCTAAACAAAATTTCACATTATTGGATTTTATATGAAAAATGCTTATCAAAATTATATGTTATCGATTCTACAATTTTAAAATATTTTTCAGATTAAATCTCATTCCATAGATATAAATTATAAATAGATTTGATTTATGGATTTTAATGTGAAATGAATCCCATCTGCCTCGCTAACAGTTTAATTTCTTGATTCATAACAAATCCTCACGAACCCGACTTTAGCTTAAGAGATGTTTCAGCTTTGGATTTGAGTCTCGACGACTTGATATTCTAATTACATTCAGAGATGGATCTTCCTTGAACTCATCGCACGCATCTAAGGCAAAATGAGTTATCTTCTTGGATGACTAGCTCCACTATATCCTGGTTCAAGTTAATTTCCTAATGATGTTTTTTTTTTGGTCAAGAGTTTCCTAATGATGTTTAGACTATATTCTTTTAACTACGATTGAGCGAAGATCCAAAGACATTAAGTTTGATCACAATTTTTATCAGAGAATGGAAAAATTTAGGTATGGTATATGGTTATGAATATTTTAAGTTTTAATTGAACTGTGTGGTTTTGAGTGTAAAATTGGGCAAAAGTTTAAGTTCTATGTACTAAAATATTATCAAAATTATCCATGTAGCTAAGCATCCATAACCCAAAATATTTCGGTTAAAACATGAAAATATAGAAAAATTCTATTATTTGACCAAAAAAATATAGAAATATTCCATTATTGTGGTCTTACCACCACCCAGATAAATGATTCATGATCATTTAGTTAAAACACCATTAATAAAGGAGGAGAAAAGCTGATGCACGGCCAAAACTAGACAGCCTAACGGCTAAAAGTGGACCGCCTATAGAAATATGTACTTCTCAAAATTATTTTGATTCACTGAATATGACACAATAAATTAAATTGTATTTGCCTCGACAAAGAAAAAATGTGATGGGATCTGTAAAGCGAGGAACCATTGATGGCCGTTAAAAAAAAAAGGAGGAAACATTGATGGATTAAGTCTATTGATGGACATTAACAAGACTAAATGAAAGTGATAGAATTATTGTGACAACGATTTCGAACTATATGGAAGTCAGAGTGTTTCACTACTACTTGGGATATGACTACAACCAAGTACAACATTCATACATTAAGTATATTGATGTAGTATTAATAAATCATCATTGGAAAAAAGACACTTAATGAGATGTTAAAGCCCTACTAACGTCAACTCTCTCAAAATGTACTGCCACTCAGCTAACTAGCTAAGACAACAGAGCTAAAGAAAAATGCCAACATTAAAAATTGAAAATGTCTAAAGAAGCACGTTTAGACCATCTATAAAATATCGAAGAATATGTATGTATAGATGCGATAATCCGAATCCCATTTAGAATATTTATATTTTTAATAATTTAAACTTTATGTTTGTTTTACTTCCATTTTTAAAACTTACCTAGGTTACTATCCGCACGTTCATGTTTGTAAAAATATTTAAGAGATATTCTATAATTTATTAAGTTTTTAAAAATATTTGGGTATCTAGAAATGTTCAGTCGATATTTGAAAAAATTTAGTTATTTTCTTTTATAATTTAAACTTATACAAAGCGAGGTTTACATTTAATTTCGTTCGAGGTTTCAAAAAATAATATTCATTTTCTGTTTATATAATATGTGAATCAAAGCTGTTGCAAAACAATAAATACTCGTAGATCTAAAACATGAAAATAATTTTTATTTCCATTAATAAAACAGGTAGCTAATTTAATTTACTAAACCAATAAAATTATCGAATTATTTGTGATTGGTTCGATTTAAATTTGATTTAATTTAAGTGATTTAAAATAAAAAGTTTGGTAATAAAAATAGCACACAAAAATAAATCAATAAAAATATTAGAAAAAAAGATAATGATATCTAACATATATTAAACATGAAACATTAGTGGCTTATGTGTCATTATCTCATAATTTTAAATTCTTAAATATCAAAAATGGTTAAAAACTTAAATATTTTATTCTTGCAACCAAACAAAAATTTCTCTAATTATTTATTTTTTAATTACATTTAATGTTTTAA